CAGGCTTGAGTAGACATTTCTTTGGTGTTTCCTCTTGTTTTTTTTTACCTCCCTCTCACTTTTGCTTTTCTCTTCAAAATTTTTGAAAAAAAGTGGGCATTTGGGCTCACACTCTTTAAAAGATCAGTAATATTTACACCTTCCTAATTTGGACGTACTCAGTAGAATGTAACCACGTGTTTGTTTATCACTACAGTGCTACAGTATAAGGAAGAGATCAGTACCTCATTTAGAAGATACCCAAGTTTTATTGGTGCCCAGAACGAGTCCTATATGATAAGGCAATATCTTACAATTGAGATATATTAATTAGTTGCAATTATTATATAATTTTTATCCTTATGCCTGGCATGGGCTATAATAATATGTTATGGCTACCTTATCTTGGTTTATTTATGTTAGACTATTTTAGAATTTGTTGAAAAGTTTTTTTTTCCCACCATGAGGTGTTTTTTTTCTAAAATATTTATGTCTCTCATAAACATAGCTTATGCTATATTCTGCTGCTAGCATAATTATATTAGCAAACTTGAATTATGCTAAATTATATTAGTAGTATAATTCTGGACACCCTAGCCACAGCTAGCAAAATTGTCAGTACTATGATTACTGGCAACTAACCCAAATAATTGATGATTAATGATACCAAAATTACTGTGGTAGCTATGTTATATGGGATCATTAAAATTTGCTGGAAGGCAAATTTTCTGAGTAACAATTTTGTTGTTGGGCTTAGGTAGAAGAAGCCTAAAAGAAGGGAGAGGTGGTTATAACTAAAGATGCAGACATTTAAAAATATGAAAGATAACTACTTTACTAAAAATATAATGGCAAACAATACATTTGCCGTATAAATAAATGTGCCGTAAGTCGTACAAGTGCCATAAGTCATACAAGTGCCATAGGTCATACAAGTGCCATAAGTCGTATAAGTGCCATAAGTTATATAAGTGCTGTATATAGTGTAAAATGCTATATGTTATACAAGTGCCGTATATCGTGTAAGTTCCATATATAGAGTAAAATGCCACTAAATAAGTACGTACATATCATTGTACTGCAAAAAGAATATTAGATACCCTGGTTCTGGACCAGTTCTTTAAGTAACCCAAGCCCAATACCTTTTTAAAAAAGCCTAATTAAAAACAATATTCAATTTTTATTATACAAACTCTGGCCTAAGCTTGAATATTCCTGCATATGAGTGAAAAATTACCAATTTTCCTTTAATTTTAAGTCAGCAATAGGGCTGTAATACCAAAATTTCAATAAAATTTTTTTTTAGAACGCAGAAGGAGGTTTTTAAACAAATCTTTGAAATTAATGAGACTTTTTAAAGAAAAAACAGGCAATATCATACCCTATTTCGTTCTGATTAGCCAGAATTAAAACTTGTTAACATACTATAAATATTATCCAAGTAATACATGCGATTATTAAAGTAATTAATATTGACTGTATATATGCTTTAAATGTACAGTATTATAATTCTTTTAGAATTAAGTTTGTGTAAAAATATATAGTATCATAATTCTTTTAGAATTAAGTTTGTGTAAAATGAAACTTAAATTATTATTTACAGGTTTACTTGGCAATTCTTATATATCATATATACCAATATAGTATTCCTTAAACATCTTGTATAGGAAAGCCAATGATTTATATATATATATAAATTTGTCTATACGTACATTTGTCTTTTTTAATAACAGTACTAAATTTTTAGCTATAGAGACAAATGAAGAAAATCCACAAAAAAGAAATGCAGATTTGGCAGAAATAGAGAATAGTTCAGGATCAGAAGAATATGCAACAAATAGTTCTAATCAAAATTCTTCAGCTAAGAAAAAATCTAGACTGTTTGCTGAGATATAGGATTATTATCTTAAAGAAGTAGGAAAAAGTAACAGCCACTATGAAGCTATTTGTTATTATTGTGTTCCTAAAAAATCTTGGGCAAGGGGAAAACCAGCAAAATTAGAAGCGCATTTGACAAATGAATGCCCTAATTGTCCCAAAACTATTTCGCGATATTGGCGAGAAAAAGTAGCAACAAGGAATTCTAACTATATACAAAAAAGAACATCAACAACCTTACCAAATCAACCGGCAATAACATCTCATTTTTTATCTGATCATCCATTACCAAAAGCTGCAATTAATCATCTTGATCAAAAAATAACTAAGGCTTGGGTAATAGCAGGAATTCTTTTTGAAATTATCGAAAATCCATTTATTAAAGATATGTTTAAAGAGTTTTTACTGGCATACAATTCACTATCAAGAACAACTTTATCAGACCAGTTACTAGATAAGGAAATAGCACGAATAAATTGTGCAGTTGATAATGATATTGATAAAGCCGATCATTTAACCTTAGGTTAGTATATAAAAAAGAACATATAAAAATACTTTGGGTTTCAATTTTATAATTCAATTTATAGTTCAACATACCATATAGCACTGCTCCCCTAGAATAGTATTCCCTTTTTTTGACAAGCGATTTGTGATCCAATTTTCATAATTAATGTGTGATCTTTTTGGATTATCCTCCCATCTTCCAATACTTGGGGATATTATTCAATTTAGGCCAACTTTTCGGTAAAAACCTGTGGTATTATATGTGGTAGTAAAAATACTATTAAAAATTCTACTTACTTTCGAAAATGCATCATTTATTTAATTTTTTAAATATAAAATATATATTTTATGGGAGCACCTATTTCTACCATATTTTTTACATGACTTTCAGCTATATATACATGACGAACATTGTTGCTATAAATTATGGACAATGGTGGAAATAGATGTTCTCTATTTTATAATAATATGGTTTAAATACAAAGTGTGTATCTTTAAGTTAATGTGCTAAAATAAATAATGCATATGATCAAATATACAGATGCTTATCAATATGTAATTTATCCATATTTAATTTATTATTTATTAATTATATATTATATGCATATTTAATCAAGCTTTAGACAGTTGGACGTCACCAACTATAGAATCAATTTATGACTATATTATCACAATGGACACACGAAAAGATATTTAGTTGGTCTAAAAAATTATTCTTTGTATTCTCAAACAGGTGAATTTTTAGCAGATGAAATATCAACTATTATTAAAAGAATTGGCTTAGATAAATTTGTGGCTGTTGTTACAGATGCGGCCTCAAATTGTAACTTAGTACGTCAAAGAATACAAGAAATGTATCTACATATTTGGAATATCTGTTGTGCAGCTCATACGATTAATCTTATTGCTGCTGATTTAGTTAAATTAGATGAATTAAAAAAATTAATCACTAATTGTGGAAAAATTAATCATTTTTTTAACTCTTCTTATTTGAGTCATTCATTATTTACTAAAGGATTTGCTGATATGAAAATTAAAGGTGGCAGGCTAAAAACATGGATAAAAACTCATTGGGGATCTTTATATTTTACTACGGATTCAATGATTTGTGTGCGACCCGTATTTGATTGGGTATATCTAAATTATTCAATAAATGTTTTTATTATAATTATTATATACTAATAGAGTAAATTTATTTTTAGTTACTTTCTGAGCATTATGAGGCAATTACAAATCACGAAATAGCTAATTTAATAGCTAATGAAGACTTTTTTAGTACATGTCGATTAGTGCGCTCCATTTGGCAACCTATTAAAGAAGCAATTTATGTATTAGAAACTAATCAAGCAATATTAGCTAATTGTTTTGCATATTTAATCAAGTTAGCCGTGGCTATTAAACGTTTGCCTAAAACAAATATCTTCAAGGCCTCTGTAATTCATGTTTTTAATTGACAATACAAAGAATTCTTACATCCACTTTATATTTTGGCGTATTATGTTCATCCACAATACAGAGGTATGTATAATTTAACTTTTGTAGATCACAATATTTATATATATATTTATACTAACAATTACATAATATGTACGTACAATATATAAAAAAGGCAAGTTAATTTAGTTAATTTTTTCTATGTATAGTGTATGAAACACAGGTATTTTTGTTACAGTGCTTGCTATTTTGGTAACTACAATATGTAGTTAAGATTAATTAGTTTTATTTAATTAATTGATTTGCAAATCCGTGTATATATATCGATATATAAAATTAATAAAACAATCTACTTAATATTAAGTATATATCATTGAATCATCGACAATTCAAAAAATTTAGCAACAATCAAGATTTAAATTTATGCTATATAGAACTTTAGAACCACCAAAAGGAATGAATGAACAAGATTATATTAGGATCTTGGTTGAAGAAAAATGTTTATTTTGTGGTAAAAAAAGTAGAACTTCAAAGATTTATTAATAAAAAATGTGAATTATACCTCAATTTATATTTTTTTTAATTTCTATATTCTTTAATTCAAACATTTTAGGAAGTTTAACCATTATAGTAAACTATATATTAAAATTAATTTTTGATATTACAACACTAATTGATAATTAGTATAGAGTTAGGGCTAGAGGTTAGGGTTAGAGTGTTTTATACTAAATTTTGCATAGATTATTTTTTGGTAGAAGCAAAATTTTAAGTTATGATTATATCTATGTTTTATATACATACAAATAGAAATCATTTTTTTTATTTTAATTAATACGTACTTTAATTTTTTATTTATATAATTTAAAAACATAAATTTTTAAAAAAGGGTTTAAAAGATGATGGATTTTACCAAGCAGCCCTTATATCTATTACGATCTGACAAAATCTTGGGTATACCAAGTTAGAAAGTGATGAATTAATTGCACAAATGCGACGATATGAAGCACGATTGTACCATTTAATCTTTCTTACGTTTCAGGTATAAATACTCCAAAAATTTGATGGGGTCTTTTAAAAGTCAACCTCAACATTTAGCTGAGCTTGCTTGCAGAATTTTTTCAATTAATTCTATGCAAGCAAGTTGCGAAAGGAATTTCTCATCATTAAAGTGGATTTTAGGGGATCATCAAACTAATTTGAGTATAAATAGGCTAGAAGGAATATTCAAAATTAGATCATATTATATAACAAATATCAGGCGTAAGTTAAACTTTCCTGATAAAGAATTAACAGAGACTGATTTTTGAGATACATGTAATCTATCTTCAGTTAGCAATATTATGAGTTATGAAGATTAAGTTAATGATGATGAGATTTTGTCAGAACACCTGATTATCCTACAACCTTGTTAATTAATGATATCATTGACTTGGAAATTGAAGAAAATTCAGAATCTTCCATAGCAGAAACGTCTTGAGTTGTCTTACCTGAGGATTTGGATTATGATCCTTGTGATGTATTAAATGGATTTTTAAAATGTGAAAAGCAGAATAATTGTATGTATGCTTAATTTAATATGAAAATGTGTAGAGATTTATTATTATACAATCAATATCTAACTTTCTCAATTTCAAAGGTTAATAATTTACAAGCAAATTCTGCCAATGATACTGGTGAAACAAATTTTTTAAGATATTGAATGTTTGATTTTTAGAATATTATTTCATTCATATTAATTTATAAATCGTATAATTAGATTTCTCTAATGCATATAAGCAAGATGTTAGACTTTAAAATAGTAATAGTCATATCAAAGAATTATACAAAATGAACAAGTAATAATAAAAATATTGGCAGTTGCATTAAAGAACTCCAGCTTAAAACTGAAAAATAGATCTAATACTAGTCAAATTAATTGGTTACTTTTTTTAATATAATACTTTCCATATTAGCTTTAAGGCATTTAAAAGTGACAATCTTTATATTCGAATTTAGAATCTGTTCCAAAACCCTAGTACTAACTTTTCTACTAACTTTTCTACTATATGCAAGCTTATCATCAAGATAATTAATATGCTCTTTAGATATAGACATGCTACTAATTGAGATTCACAGAAAATAAAAAGTAGGGAGAAAACTATATTTCAGCTTAAAGAATTAAATAAACAAACTCTATTCTATAACCAATATATTGATATGATAAATAAATCAAATTCACTAATTTAACTAACAAGTGAAGCCTCTATGTTAATCAACCAAGAAACATTCTAAAATCAAACGCCAATCTATAAGCATTAGCTTAGGTTGCTCATTGCAAGCAAGCATATTCTTATCTTAAATACTATTAATCAAAAAAAAAAAAAGAAGTAAATTCGTTAGAAACTATTTTAATGTTATATAAATACAAAAGCTTTTTTTTATCATTATATTTTATAAAGAGGTTATATAGAGTTGACTATATTACGACTTCATCCAGAATGAGTTGGTAAATCTTCTTTGGTACTTTCCCCGCATTGAGGTAACAAACGGCATGTGACAACATGCAACATAAATTACGGCATGCAACATAAATCACAGCATGCAACATCAATCACAGCATGCAACACCAATCATGGCACACAAACCTATTGTGACACTCACGGCATACTACCTTGTTATCACATATGGCATAATGGCAACATGGCCCAAAGGTAGTACTACCTTTACATCATAGCCATAATGCCGTATGTAGTTACTACCTTAAGAAATATCTGCATTATTAGTTATAACAGGTTGTAGATACTATCTGTTGAAAGCCAGGTCATATCCAATTGCAGGAGAGGTCCGAAAGGAGGAGAATCCTACTATAGCAGGTTGAACATAAGTACTTATTGAGCAACTGAGTTAGTCTTTACTTGTAATTTAAGTATAGTTGTGTAGCCCTTGGGCATGCACATGTCATTTAGAGATAGTTCTTATATGCTATCTGCCAACATGTTCAGAGTTTATCACTTATTGATAAGTCTCTCTAAAATTTTAATAGTCTAGATGATTATTACAAAGCTTAATAAAGTAAAGGCATGACTGCCGAATTGTTAAAAAAAAAAAGATAAATTTTCTCAAAAATCAGAACATATAACAAAATTTAGATACTATTGTACACAACTTCTTGACTGTCAAAAGAAATCAAAAAAATATGAAGATTCTACTAAATATAGAGATTGTCTACCAATGCAATGGTTTAATTGCAAAGACTAATTAACTATTACTATAGATACAGAAAAAAGCAAGTTATTGTTGAATTAACTCACGAATATTATACTAAATATACTAATATATATGTTATAGATGAAATAAAAGAATATATTCAAAACAATCTTCACCAAACTTCTCAGGTTATATGGGAAAATCTTGATATAAAAAGCCCGAATATTACTGAAAAACAAATCTATTATTGGTGGATAAATTTTAGTCAATATATCTGAAAAAAAGATAAAGATTAAATTAAATCAGCTATTAAAATTATTAAAGCATATGATAATACCGAAATGATACTAAATATTACAAATAATGAAGTTACTATGATTAGTTTTGGAATTACAGAAATAATTAACAAATTAGATATAAATGCAGCCAAGATCAGTATAGATACAATATGTATATATTAATTAAAATTATTGTTGCAAGCTAAATTTTTAAAATCATTTTTATCTTATCCAAATCTAAAATTTTTGAAACTTCAAAATTGCTTTATAAAACTATATACCAATCTAAAATTAATTTTATTATTTTCCTGCAAAAAAAAATTTATTAATAAATACTTTTATAATTTAGATAACACAAACAAGATAAACCTTAAATTATATTCAATACTTGCTGAAGTAGATAGAATATGATTTCCATTGACTTATATGCTACTGACTATAGCAACTGCAATTAATGATGGAGTTTGCATGAAAATGATTGCCTATAGTGAGGTACTATGGTATTATGGACACTTTTAAGAATCTGTACAAAGCTAAATATAAAAGATATAAAGCTAAAAATTAAAATATAGGTTCTTTTAATCTATATCTTTTAAATAAAAAAAAGATTGCAAAATTCTATGCAACGGTTTTTAAAATAATTAAGTTT